GGGGTACGTTATTCGATTTGCTTGGGATCAATAGACTAGTCAAGTAGTGAGCGAATTTAAAATCGTTAGTTTCGAATTGATCAACCGGTCCGCACTCGTGTTTATTTCAGTTACCATGGGGACGTAATTTGTGATTAGCCCCGGCCCTTTTCAAATTGTATCATTATTTATGTACGGCCTTAAATTTGAAATGGCGTTTTACATTCATTTAGTGATGGCTGATTTTCATTCGTAACAGTAACTTCTCCAGAGGATCATCACCCATCGTTTCGAACATATGCTGCACTCTCATTGGTGGAAAAAAAGCACAGCGAACAAAAAATAATCGATTAGATGTTAATCGAATAATTTAAAAAATGGGACATCTCTGATTTTGGTGTGATTGTTTTGATAATAAAGAGCGCAAAATTTCATCTCTACCGAGGGGGCAGCAAAACCACTAAATTACCTTGCATACGGGGGGTATTCATTGGATGAAAAGGACCGTAAAAGAGGACACTAAAATAGAAAGTTTTTCTTCCGACTGTTTCATCTTAGTATTCTTCTTTGCTTTCATAGTGAACCAAAACAAACATAGTGTAGTACTAGAATTTCGACTATAATGGGGCACGTTAATCGATTTGCTTGGGATAATATTTTATTGATTCTAAAAAAAAAGAACATTTGATGTAAATAACCTGACATTTGATTTATTTTCCATATTTATTGTTTCTTTTAATTTTAGCTGAAATCAAAAAATAAAATCATTTTTAGGATGTCAAACAATACTTACAAAATTATAGTATCTAAATAAAAAAAAATGATTTACTTTGGCCCTTTTCTCGTCAACCGAAGGTCACCACGGAAACCAACATCCGGAAGGTTAAAGGTTTCCCCTACCGGATGATGTTGTTGGTTTGCGTGAGTGACTGAAAATTAGTTTAACTAGTGATTAAAAAGTGTCATTCGAAAAAAATACCTGTGGTTCACTCGGAAATAGTGAACGTAGCTCAACTGCTCTACTTTCGTCGGGAGTCAATTTAGGAGACAAAAAATCAGATCATTTCCAAAAGATTTGTTTTAATCAAAAAGCAAAGTCTTTGTTTCTAATAACAACTTTGTAGAATGAACCCTGCTATACATTAGAAACAAAGATTTTTTTTTTCTTCTGCAATGCAAATGCAATGTATTTGATTCTAATACGCCTTGTTTCTCTGCGTGTACGTTTAGCAAAGTAAGATGTTTGGCCCGGGATTTGTCCAAAGTCCATTTTTACGTAAGTTTAATCGTCCATCAAAATGTGAGTGTGCAGAATTTTTCAACTCTGTCACGTTCCATCTTCGATGACTTTTGAACAACTATATGAATCCTGATGAATTTTTCACTAATAAATAAACAATCCTTCCAGATCAAAACGTTTTCAATAGTTTCTTGCTACGACAACTAGAGGCGCTACAGTAATGAAAAATAAGCGGCCAAATACTAACTGGAACAGGCTTTAGCACTCCCAAGTCCCAAGTCAATTGAGTGAGTTCAGAGTAAATAATTAAGCAACTCCCTGGAAAATTCAATGACGATTGTGAAGAGAATTTCAGGATTCGTAAAAAAATACCAAGGGAATCGAATTTTGAGGGTACAGTTCCAAAGAAAATTCTGCTGATAATTCCATGCACATTTCGAAAAGAATTACTAGATAATTTAAAGGAAAGTTCCAAACAATTTCTAGAAGAACTTAGAGGGGAACTCCAAGATAATTCTGAGCAAAATTTGAAGACAATTCTCGACGGCAGAATTGCCCCTGCTGGATGGTGTTGGCAGGGAAAGGAGATTACAAATGTTGCTCTCAAATGCTAATAGGCCATTTTCAATTGTTGGTCAAGAATTAGGTGAATTCCCAGATTAAACCTTTCAAGAATTTTTTGTGGAGTGCTCTTATTTCAGGTTGAGAAGAATTCTGAAAAGAACTTTGTGAAAGGAAATGCTTTAGAACACAAAAAAAGTCTGTTAAGTTTTGAGTAAATTTTCATAGGCAAATTGTGAATACTTAGAACGTGTCGTAGAGCCAAATTCAAGATCCAGGAAAGTAGATTTATGTCGATATGGTTTCAGTTTCCTTTACACGCCCATAACATCCCGGTTTCTGCTTGAACTGATTAGCTGGCGTTTACTACGTTTAAATGGTGTGTATTTATAAAAATGCGCTGCCTTCGTGTTTTGGCAACACGCAATTTATGTCTTATTTGCATTCTATCGAACGCTTTATTTAATTTGAAATTGTGCTGGATCCCTCTTTATCGGTTAGAGGTCCATGTGGTATTTCATGAAAAAATGTCCAGAAAGCACTAGTATAGTACTGAAGACAGTAATAGCTGATGGGATTGTTAAAAAGGGGTTTTTTAATTACTGGAAAATCAGGGATTATCAGGAAATTTGGTTTTCTTCATTGAGTCGACACGCTGGATTGGTAGCTATTTAGCGTTGTTATAGAATGGTATTAAAAAAACGATTTGTTTGCATTTTGAACATAGACCTTTTTCAAATGTTACACGAGATTTGAGTTTTGTGTTTGTTGTTGAATTTAAGTTTGTGTTTTTGTTTTGATATCTGGAATTGAAGTCCATGTCCATGATCCGCTATCCGATCCACTAAGTCTATCTTCACTCGATAGCCATGACAAGCAGGCAAATTGAATCGTCAGACTTACATCAAATCTAATTCAAATGATATATTAACAGTGAAAATCCATCCATAATTAGCCAAGTTATAACCATTTAAAACCTTAAATGATTTCGTGACGCTGGTACGATGAAATGGAACCCCATACTATCGGCAACGACCTAGTCCTACGTCTATATAAAATAACAAGCAGATTTTGAACCTAACATCCATTATGTCCGTCTAGTGAAAGAGAGAGAGAGAGGGAGAGAGCTCGATACAGTCCAATTTCGCTCGTTGGGCTACGTTTTAGTTGGGCTGTAGCCCACCTAAATCGAAGTCAAACGTCATTTCTGGCAAAGCTGTTTCCTCTTCGAGGGGCTCATGTATGAACAGTTTGGATAGTTGCTAAAGGATAGTGATGATAATAAATAATCGGTGTATCCCTCAACAATTTTTCACACTGACAGCTCAGCCCAACTAACGAAAGCCTTTCACTAAGTGGGCTACAGGTTTAGCCCAACGAGCGAAGGTTGTCTGTACTGTTATAAATTTCAATCTAATCGTTTTGTTATAAGCATCATTTTCAGGACAAACCCAGAGGATCTTCGGCACAAGTTAAAAAATCCTCCAGACTCCGACTGATCAAAAACTCAAGAGCAAATTCATATGACAAATAGAGCACATATTTGAAACCTCAATCTGCCACAAAAGACTTCCTAGTTTGCAGTGGAAGCCCGTAGAGTCTAGTCCCGGAGTGCCTTCACTCTCATCGACTCCGGAACCTTCATACTAACTCAGGATTTTACCTAACCTCAAATATTCTGGATTCATAAATGAAGTGCAGTGAAATGGTTTCAAGCACATCTCTTTACACTGCAGATTGTTCCAATACGTGTTGAGTTTCAATTCAGATGAAGGAAATAGTCAAGTCTATGATTTTTTAACGGACTTGTTAAGCTTTTTTCAGGTAGTTAGTTAATCACTTGTAGAACTAGTAAAATTTAGACATTCGATTCCGCAATCTGATTTGATTAGTCGGAAAGCAAAAATAGAATACCAGTGATTTGCCCTACAGACACAGCGGTTTTACATTTAATAATGAGTAAATTTGTGCAAACAATACATTGGCTTCGAGGAGCACCACCTTCTGCGCAGTGATCAAATTTTGGTGTTTGAATATGTTGTTGCCAACCCTATATTCATATGGTAACATGTAGTCAGAAATTTGAATCATGTAGCTTTAGCTACTTTTTAACCAACCAGCAAGTCTTTGGTAAATAGAATTAGTATTAGGAAACCAGTTAAACGTTAGTTGAAAACAAAACAAAAATCACAATTACTAATGAGTTTTTCATTTGAAGCGATTTCGGTTAGAGCTGTGGATCCACCGTGTATCACGGTTGTCGTCATCAAGTGCACGAGACAATGCAGTGAGATATGGTAAACTAATAAAAAAAAAAACGAAACGAAAAAAAACTGACCCCTATTTCAGGTTTAGACTTAAAAACCATTATTGCGAGTTTCTCGGAGTTGAGCACTTTGCCATGTGCTGTCTCGACATTCGTAAGATAACTTTTTTCCAACATTAATCATAACTACTGATAACTTTTGTTAGGCCCCCCTCTCAAATATAAGCATCTTCACCCCCCCGGAAGATTAAGCCTCTACTTCTTCTGAAACCTGCCACCCACAGACAGTGAAAGTAAGTTCAGTTGAACCGCCTCATGATGCCAAAGCAAGAAGAGCGGAGCGGGTTGTGAGGCAAAGTCAGAAGTGCACCGGTGGATAGTGGCTCGCATTTCGTGACACTTGAAACCAGTCGATGTGTGTGTGAAACGGGAGAGGAACCGGTAGTAGTGTGGAAACCGCTGAAGATGGCGTCCGTACTTTGTTTTTGTAATGAGAGAAAACCGTACAGTGATGTGATTAATGGTTCTTTTTCTCTTTTCCCAGCCGTGTGTTGTTGTCGTCGTTGTTGCAAGGCGAGACAAATTAGGAAATAATAGAAATTTTTGCCGTTACAGCTCATTTCATACACAAAAAAGCTAACGAAAATTGCAATTGCAGTAACCTAAACTTTGAACTTTGTAGGTTTTAGCAGGCGGGCTAATCTGAAAAAAAATGAAGAACAATAATCACTTGAACTTTAGCAGGTCAAACTAATGATCGTTTTTCCCATATAGGAAACATATCTCACTCTTAAAGATCTAATGAACATGTTTTTCCACCAAAAGCAGCTATTAATGAAAATAATCAAAACATCAACTAGACCATAAGTTCTTATTTCTACCCACCGCGGCAGCTATCAGAGCAGAATTTTCATATGTCGTTTCTCTTTTCTTTTCTTCCTGGATTATTCACAGATCACCGTCACCGGAGCCGATCTACAGCAGCGATGGCAAGAGGTTGAATACCCGCGAGTTCCGCACCCGGAAGAAGCTGGAAGAACAACGTCATCTGCTAATCCAAAGGATGCAGTGCATGAATCCGGATTTCAAGCCACCGTCGGATTACAAGTAGGTTCCTTCACAGCGCAGTGAAACATATTTTGTAATATCGCATCGAAAACGATTCACATTAACCGCGTTGAAAAAGGCGTCGTTGCATGGTCGCAACATGCATATGTTTAGGGTAAACGCTCCAATAGTTGCGGTACGGTAGAAGCGTTAGGTTCCTATAGTTGTGCATTGAGTCTCCATACACAACTATAAGAACCCAACGCTTCTAACGTACAGCAACTATAGGAGTGTTTACCCTATAAAGGGATCTTGTGCGCTCCCACCCAAATTGCACGTCTCTCAAATTTTTGCGTGCTCTCTCTGGTACCTATCTTGCTCTCAAAAAAAAAATCGAGTGCACAGCACATCATTATTTTGAGCTGTGCGTGTGCTTCCAGACGACCCCTGGTTTTGATGTCTGTGTTCGGGAAGTACTCTTATCAACTTGGTTTATGTTCATAAGTTTCGATTGCTATAAATAAAATTGCTTACCCCAATTTCCCGTACCACACAGGCCGCCGGTGATTCGCGTCAGCGACAAGGTCCTCATCCCCCAGGAAGAGCATCCGGACATCAACTTTGTCGGTTTGCTCATCGGGCCCCGTGGAAACACCCTGAAGGCCATGGAGAAGGACACCGGTGCCAAGATCATCATCCGTGGCAAGGGTTCCGTGAAGGAAGGCAAAGTTGGACGCAAGGATGGTCAGCCGCTACCGGGAGAGGATGAACCGTTGCATGCTTTCATCACTGCCAGCAATCCGGAGGCGGTCAAGAAGGCTGTCGATCGCATTAAGGATGTCATCCGGCAGGGCATCGAAGTGCCAGAAGGTCACAACGATCTCCGGCGAATGCAACTGCGAGAACTGGCTCAGTTGAATGGAACTCTGCGGGAAACGGACGGTCCTCGTTGTACCAACTGCGGCTCCAACGAGCACAAGACCTGGCTTTGTCCGGACAAGCCGAACATTACGAACAATATAGTTTGTTCTTCGTGCGGTGGGGCAGGACATATTGCTAAGGATTGTCGTAGCAAACGTCCGGGACAGGGTGGTCCACCAGCGAGCAACAACCAGGCCAAGATCGATGAAGAATACATGAGTTTGATGGCGGAACTCGGTGAAGGACCCCCACCAGAGTCGAACAACCAGCATAATTCACAGGCATCCAGATCCTACGGTCTATTCGAACCCAGACAAGCTCCACGTCCTCTCATGCAAACGCCGCATCTGCCGCCCCCACATCCGGCTCCACCTGCGCCACCAACCACCAGCGCTCCTATGCCTCTGCCTCCACAGATGAGCCAATGGAACATGCCCCCGATTCCTGGTCCTCCACCACCACCTCCAGGAGTAACCCCACTCATGGCATGGGGACAGCAACCACCTCCTCCAGGTGGTAGTCCAGATATGCTCCCTCCAGGCACAGCTCCTCTGCCTCGATACCCTCAAAGTTATCCACCACCACCCCCGGGAGTATCGCAACCCCTAGCGCCGGGCACTGCCCCCGTCGGAATGCCCTCTTGGAGCGGGAACAGCGGATCGGGTGGCCCGCCACCTCTAATGCCACCAGGATCATGGCAACCCCCAGGTGGCGCTCCCGGTACAGGCTTCATTCAACCGCCACCCATGCCAACCGGGCTGCCACCGGCTCATCTTTTAAGTGCGCCACCCCCTCCACCTCCACCTTCATAGAAAGTGGGTGGACAGACACGTACTTTGATCTTTTACATTACCGGAAAGCAGTAGGTAATTTGTGTAATATTCAATCGTTTCAGCTAGATGGGACAAATAATGCTAACTATGATAACTTTTCCATGGATAATTATTAAAACAAATAATGAATCAAAAATTTAAGCTTGCTCTAGACGAACAGTTCTAATGTAAGGCATAAGTAGGAAAATGAAGCTAAGGTCTTTAAAATTATGAGATTCTAAACTGTCTTGTTTCTTTCTAAAGTCTACCGAAATTTGTCCGAAAAGGAATAAATGCATGTCTAGAACGACTCTATGATATTACCCCGAATCCATTTAGAATTTTTTTATGTAGGGGATGGTGGGGCAAGATGGGTCATCTACTTGGTTTACTTATTTTTTTGATTGCCAACATCAACAGACTCAATATACACAAAATGCTGTTCCGAAAAAGCAATCTGCTCCGGGTTACATTGAACCTGTTGGTACTGACAAACAAACAAATTAATTAATATACTAGCTGATCCACCTTGCCCTATATTTAGTATTCTCTTCTTTAGTAAATATTCGAAGCAGGAAAAATTTCCGTATTTCTATTATTCAAAGAAGCGAGTAGGGTAAAAAATTACTTCGACCTAATCACCCATTTTGGGCCTATCGCGCAGAAAACATCATCCGCAATTCCATAGAAAAAAAAAAGTTCGAATGGATCTTAGAATTTCGTAACAATTGATAATTTTGTACCTTATGGAAACATTTTAGACCCGTTGAGGTAAATTTTAAAGGAATACTTATGATAGTTTCGCGATATTTCTGTAATAATTTTTAGACAAAAGAGTTCCTTGGAAGGTGTGAGGTGTATTTCAACTCCAAGAGAATTCTGTGTGGAAATTAGAGTAAATTCCGAAGATAATTCCTTGGAAATTTTAGGAGGATAGTTAGTGGATACTGAGGAGAGGTTATTTCAGGAGAATTCTTTCGAAATTCCTTGGTAATACAGCTAACGCAGAATTTTAAGAGAATTTCAGAGTGAATCAAAGATCAATCCATTTAACCCAGTCCTGCCATCTGCCGCCTCCGATCTTCAGAGATGTTCCTGGCCTGTTGTTGGATGTGGAGACGGGGTCTTCCAACCTACTCACTGTGGCGAGTATCAACTTGAGATTGTTAATGTCCATTCGCCGCCTGATGTTTCCATGACTTCCAGGGAAAACGCCTTACGTCGTGCGACCACCAAGCGTAGTAAACATGTCATCATTTTCTGCTACCAAACGTAGGCGGAATGAATTTTGATGTTCACGTTTACCACCTAGCTGTATCGGACCGGTGCTACGATGTTATCGTTCTTGTCGAGACTTGGCTTTCCAGCGTTCGGATCGGATCAAGGCACCTTCTCCACTGGTAAAGCCAAGTACATCATCACCCTCCCTTGGTTGTCACTGTTGATGACAATTACGATCGGGTCTTTAACGACATTCCTCGACCATATCATACGATTTCCGGAAAGCCGATCATCGTAGTATCGTCAACGTGCTATCTTATATAGATTGGGAGAGCATCCTCGATCCTGATCACGTAGAAACCGCTGCTTAAATATTTTCACATGTCTTGGCTTATGTCATTGAAAAACACGTTACGAAAAGAGTTCACCGTGAAATTTTTCATCCTCCCTGGCAGACGAGTGAACTGCGTAGGTTGAAGTCGACCAAGAGAGCCGCAATAAGAAAATTCACTAAGTATCACCCGCTATTCCTGAAGCGTCACAACGTTGCTCAATTATGAGTTCAAGCGTCGCAAGTAATTCTGGAATTACGTAATTGAGCACCTCAAGGAATCCGACCTACCTTCAATGGTCTTGAATAGGACAGTTGCTTCCACTCCTCAGCTGATCTGCCGCTTGTTTTCTGAGAAGTTCGCCAGTGTTTTCTCGAATGAGAGATTAACCGACGAACACGTTACGTCACGCTAGTAATGTTCCACTCTCCGATCAAATATTGGGTGCAATGGCTGTCAACGTCGAGATGATTTCCACTGCCGCATCCCAACTCAAGTCGTCATTCAGTCCAGGACCCGATGGCGTTCCGTCCGTGTTCCTGAAAAAGCATATCGCCACCTTGCTGATGCCGTTGCATCACCTATTCCGATTGTCTATATCGAGTGGTACATTTCCATCTTGTTGGAAATTCTTACATATGTTTCCTATCCACAAAAGGGGCAGCAAACGGGATGTGGATATCGTGGAATTACGTCGTTGAGTGCAGTTTCGAAGTTATTCGAGTTAGTCATCATGGAGCCTCTGCTATCTCATTGCAAGCCGTATCTAAGAGATGATAAACACGGCTTCACTTCCGATCAATCTACTTCCACAAATCTACTATGTTTGACATCGTATCTTACGGAAAGCATGGCAGAGAGAACTCAAACATACGTCATATATACCGACTTGTCAGCTGCCTTCGATAAGCTAAACCACACGCAGGAAAAAGAACGTAAGAATTCCATAAGAAACACTTATGAATTTTAGCCATAAGAAATGAGTGTGAATGTGGAGCCTCATAGCCTAGTCAGTAAAGGCACGGTATTACCAAGCCGGAGGCGGCAGGTTCGTTTCCCGGTCCGGTCGAGGGAATCTTTCGGGTTGGAAATTTTCTCGACTTCCCTGGGCATAGAGTATCATTGTGCTTGCCACACAATATACAAATTCATGCATTGGTATTGGCATCGAAAGCTCTCAATTAATAACTGTGGAAGTGCATTTAGAACACTAAGTTGAGAGCACGCAATGAGCTAATATGCGATAAGCAATAAGCTTGAAATGCGAATAAGAAGAAGAAGAAATGAGTGTGAATTTCATTGATTTGCTTATGAAAAATAATGTTTGCAAAAAAAATAAAAAATCTGAGCAGACTGGACCCGGAAAATAGACGTTGAGGTTAGGGGGCCCGTGTGTTGACCATTCGTTTTTCAACGCTTGGGAAAATGAAATGGTTAAAGGCGTATAAGAGCTACCTCATGTTACAAGAAAATCATTCATTTGTCACGCTAATGAAATTCATATATGTTGTTCATAAGTCGAGCCTTATGAAATTCTTAGGTCCATTTGCCTAAGTGCATGCCATCGCAAACTGTTATCAATGACTCACAAAGCGCAAGAAGGCAGTCCCAACATATTGCAGTCAGAGAACTGGGGAACCACACGATCAACAATAAAATTAGAGTGGCGCGGCTAAACTACTTTGGACATGTGGTAAGGGACACATCCCAAGGAATACTAGGGAAAGCTCTCAATTACCGCGTGCATAAAAAAAAGAAACTAGGACGACCCTGCTTCACGTGGAAAACGAGTCTCAAACAGGACTTTGAAAGAAGCAACACAACAGCGGCGCATTGGAGGGAATTGGCATACAACCGTGTACAAGACGGCCACAAAGAAAATATTCAACGCACTTATCGAGTCTGACTATGAAGATTCGGAAGATTCCGTGAGCACGGAAAACACGGAAGATGATGTACGATTGTCGAAATTCGATGGATGTGGTGAAAAAATGTAAGTACATTATCAATCACTAAACTAATCAATAACACAAGTAAATGAAATCATAAATCAAGAATTACAGGTATTGGAAAACATAGTCCTCTGTACATTTACTTTCCAACTTTTACTAATACTACTGTTACTCCGACTATCCCCTACTTGAAACACTAAAGGGTGATACGGTCAAAATTTGGTCAATATCAACTTGACGTATTTCTTTCAATTTTGCATTTAAAAAACCTGAACACCCCTCATTTTGAAGGTGTGTGTGTGTAGAATGTTGCTCCTATTTTGATTTTGGAATTCACTCTTCAGTTGTCAAAATGCCGTCCAAGCAAGAAGAGCAGCGTATCAAAATTTTGCTCGCGCATCGCGAAAATCCGAGCTACTCGCACGCAAAGTTGGCAAAATCGCTAAAAGTTGCCAAATCAACCGTTACAAATGTAATTAAAGTGTTTGGGGAACGTTTGTCGACAGCCAGGAAGTCTGGATCGGGGGGAAATCGAAAACCGGAAGCCGCTGAGACGACAAAGAGAGTTGCCGGTAGTTTCAAGCGAAACCCTAACCTCTCTCTCCGAGATGCCGCAAATAAGCTGGGTGTATCGTCTACAACCGTGCATCGAGCCAAAAAACGAGCCGGACTATCGACTTACAAGAAGGTAGTGACTCCAAATCGCGATGATAAACAAAATACGACGGGCAAAGCGCGATCCCGGAGGCTGTACACGACGATGCTGACGAAGTTTGACTGCGTGGTAATGGACGACGAAACCTACGTCAAAGCCGACTACAAGCAGCTTCCGGGACAGGAGTTTTATACGGCAAAAGGAAGGGGAAAGGTAGCGGATGTTTTCAAGCACATGAAACTGTCAAAGTTCGCAAAGAAATATCTGGTTTGGCAAGCCATCTGTACCTGTGGCTTGAAAAGCAGCATTTTCATAGCTTCCGGGACTGTCAACCAAGAAATTTACGTGAAAGAGTGTTTGAATAAACGTCTGCTGCCTTTCCTGAAGAAACACGGTTGTTCCGTACTGTTTTGGCCGGATTTGGCATCTTGCCATTACGGTAAAAAGGCCATGGAGTGGTACGCCGCCAACAACGTGCAGGTGGTTCCCAAGGACAAGAACCCTCCCAACACGCCAGAGCTCCGCCCAATTGAGAAATACTGGGCTATTGTCAAGCGGAACCTAAAGAAGACCAAAAAAACTGCTAAGGGCGAGCAGCAGTTCAAGTCAAACTGGCTTTCTGCGGCGAAGAAGGTGGACAAGGTGGCTGTACAAAATCTGATGGCAGGGGTCAAGCGTAAGGCCCGGCAATTCGGATTTGGAAAAGCGGAAGCCTAACTGAATATTTTTCCTGAATTTTATACTAATTGAACTTGAAAAAGAAATTTAATTTGATTTTTTAAATAAACGATTTCACCGATTTACACGCGTTTTCCCTTGACCAAATTTTGACCGTATCACCCTTTATTCCTCCCTATGCGGCATCTTAAGCAGGATTCAATTAATCCCTGTGATAATTATTCTGTGGTGCCAAATCTTTACCTCTACCCTTGTGCTGTATGGACAGTGATGTTTTACTGAAGACCTGGCCCTATGGCCCCCTTCTGTGCTTGAAAATGAAAATTAAAATGAAGTATATTGATGAGCATGCAGCGCGCTTCATAAGATGGTAACGAAACTAT